GCATTCTTTGTAGTGGTAAAATACTAGAAGTCTACAATGAATTGGATATTATTTAGGCTTTTATTTCATTCAACACTTTATTAAATAGATGAAAAATTGATTAATATTTAAAAGAAAGTTTTTCTAATTCTCAAATTGAAAAAAATTTGGCATGAAATCTATTCCAATAACTTTTTTTTACTTATATTTTTGGATGTTGGAATATTAAATTTATTCAATGGTTTGATAATATGTGTAACATGAAATAAGAAGACAACAATAGTTACACCAATTAAAGATAGAATAATAAAATTATGTCTTGATAGGACCTTATTCCACATCATTAATCAATTATATTTTGATATATTTTAATTAACACAGGAAAAAAAACTATTTAGTAAACAATGCTATTATTGAAATCTAAATATTTATATTAATATATTTATAAATATTATACTTCAGCTCTTAAGATTTTTTAAAGATTTTTATGAGGTTGATTAGATATATTTAGTATAATTGGAAGATTACTTAGGTTATTCAAGATTACCAAAAAGATGTTACAATCCTAAAGCAAATGTATTGCTTTTGGATTGTAAATCTAACTTTAAGGTAATTTCAAATCCTTCTATAACCATTTAATGTATTCTATGGGTTCAATGCATTCTAAGGTTGATTTTCACATGACACAATAGCACAATGCAACATGTATAGGTATAATGTGCCAATGATGAGTGAAATTGCAATGATTCTTCTTGGCAAGGTGGCCAAAGTATGTAATCATGATATAATTTTTAAGTGCAATCTGACATATATTATTTAAATTATAAATACTCTAGCTCTTTCATATAATCTCTTTCAATATCTTCTTTTATTTTTGAAGAGTGATAATAAATAGAATGACAACAATTAGTAAGTTGTTGTATATTATCAAGTATCAATGGATATTTTTAATGTATATTAAATACATATTTATCCATAATAATTTAATATTTATAGGGGTGGTCATTTCTTTTAACAAAACATTGTCAATATAGCTACTAAGACTAAGCAAAATAACATCAATTTTGTAGTTTTGAACCAAAATAAGTTTAGATTTGAATTCTACAATGAATTGGCATATATTGTGGCTATTGACTTAAATTTTATTTTTATATAAATTAATCATTAGATTTCTTTTTTTTACAAATATTTAAAACTCAACTTAATTTGTACAAAAAATGTATTAAGATGTCAAGATAATTATTTGATCAAAGAGAATGATTGATTTTTATTTTTTTTATGAAAAATATAATATATAATAGCCTAAGATAACTAGCAAACTATTGAAGGGCCAAACTTTAGTCAACTAATTAAATTTGGTTGCACATATATTCAATATAAAAGTAATGTTTTTCCTTAAAGGATTATACAAAATGCATGGCTTATTGATGTGATTGGGTTCAGCTTAACAGATAAATGCCAAGAAGAAGATTTATCTCACATTAATTTATTAAATCTTTATTCATGATCAAAAGATAGTTATTATAGAAAGAATAGATCATTTTATTTGTACCAAATTTCTTACTAAAGATAGAGTCAAAGATTATGATTAATAATCTGTATTTCTTAATGAAAAAGAGAAGATAGAGATAATTGTAACTACCTACCTAGCTATCAGTGTATTATAATAATTATAAATTAGTAATAATAATTGGTATTCAAACATGTTTTTTTAATTATTAGAAACTAAACTTACTCAAACTTAATTCATGGGAATTAAATCATTTATAAAGATAAAATATGTGGATGTGATAAAGATTTTTTGTATTGTTAACTTTCATTCTATTTGATTGTATATATTATAATTCAATTATATTTAAAATTTTAAATATAATAATATTTTATATCAATATAATTTTTTCAATCATAAAATGATAGATTTCTAGTTATAATATTACAAAATATATTGTCATAATCAATTGTGTTTAATAATAATATACCATATCCAAGCTTGTTCAATAATGTTTGTAGCCACATTATTTCTTGTAATGTTGTAACTACAACCATGTATTTGGCTTTAATACTTGATTGAGCCACTATGGCTTATTTATTACATTTCCAGCTTAAAATAAAATAGTTAAAGTATAAAAAATACTTAGATATTGACTTTCTTATTAATAAAAAATATCTTTCATAGTGTGCATTATTTTATCTAAACAATTGTAGTAAAATTGTAGTTATATAAGTATTTAAAAACTATAGATCTTAATATCTAATTTCTTTTAAATATCAATAAATTATTTTTAAAGCCATCTAATGTGATGGACTTGATTTTGCCATAAATTATACCATATGATTGATAGACAAGGTTAAGTCATACCTTATACACGTTATATGATATTATAAACTCCCAATAACTTTTTATAAAGTAAAAAATCCATTAATTTAATATTTCCTCTTTATTAGATTGATAGTACCTAAATAGTATATCCAATCTTAAGAAAAGTAAACATAATATCACAACTTTTTATAAAAAATAAAAAAATACATGACTAAGATACATTTATTTTGAGAGAATAATAATGTATAATTAATAAAATTACATAAATATATATATATATATTTATATATATATTTATATATATATTTATATATATATTTATATATATATTTATATATATATATTTATATATATATATATATTTATATATATATATATATTTATATATATATATATTTATATATATATATATATATTTATATATATATATATATATTTATATATATATATATATATTTATATATATATATATATTTATATATATATATATATATATATTATATAAAATTTTTAAAAATAATTTTTTGATAGATTTTAAATATGGCAAATAGTTAGAAATTAAAAAAAACATTTTTGATTAAAAAAATCCAAAATAAATAACCAAATTCAAAAGATACTTAAAATAAATATTAATAATAGAAATAAAATTTTAAAATCTATTTGAAATTAAAAATAAAATAAAATAAAATAAAATAAAACTATCAAAGAGGTCATATCAAATTTAAGCCTTTTGATTAAGTAATATAGTTTAATTTATTTTAATTTTTAGGACTTGATTTTAGAATTTTATTGTAATATCTATTTTATAGTTACAAAAATTATAGTAATTTTCTAAATCAAGAAAGATGTTGTAGATGTTATTGTTTAATACTTGAAGAAATTATCTACAAAAAAAAGTTGTGTATCAAGAAATAATATAGCAAAATATAGCAGATTATAAAGACTACCACATCTAAACAATGTTGTTTGTATAAATTAGTGAAAAAAAAAACATTAAAATATAAATTTTAATGCTAAAATCACTAAAATATGCAAAATACTTTGTCAAAATGCAATGAATTGAATAGATTTTGTAGTTCTTATTAATAATAATGGTATAACTTTACTTGACAAGTTTATCATTTAAAGTACTCTACATCATATTAAAATCACATATGTCTTGATTAGAAAAAATTGTAATTTTAGGTCCAATTCATTCATAATAATATAATCTACATAATGATAGAAAGATTCATGTATCATAGAAAGTTCCTATTAATTATAGGATATTCTACTTGTACAAGTATCATCTAATATATCCACAATGTTATTTGCATTAAATTAGATACTATCACAATTTTGTAAAGTGGCCTTATACTACATAATTCTACATATCAAAGAAAATCAATGAAAAATCTAAAAAACTTGATATATAACAATCTCATTTAAAGAAATTAGTTCTTTCTTGTTCCAATACTCAAGTGTGCATGTTGAAATGTAAGAGAAGCAAGTTTTAAAAAACAAAGGATTTCAAAACCAAAAAATAAATTTAATTGGACTTCAAATAATTAATAAAAGATTCTTTGCATGCTTATGATTTAATACTCTTGTATTTGTGGGACTCCACATCCAATCTAAACTTCTCCAAAGATAAATTAGTGCTTCCACCTTGCTTGCTTGGCTATTACAACACTCATAAGATTCAAGAAGGTATCTTGGATCTAGTATAAAGAGTTAAGAATCATTCTAATTGAGGTTGAATATACCATTCTTATCTCACATTATGCAATCTCTAATTCCAAAATTACATAGAAATTTAAAGATGCTCTTCTTTTATATCTATATTTTGATGGTATATTCTTTGATAAGATTTAATTATATAAAAGAAAATCATTATGATAATATATTAAAACAAAGTTCATATTAATAAATGAATATTCCAACTAATATAATAATGTCATTGGTTTGTAAAAAATAAAAAACAAAATCCTAATTATATAATAATAATGCACAACTCTAAGTTGTCCTTTCTTTCACACTTACAAGTCCTAGTATTTTATCACTAAATTTCAAGCATATCATACTTTAATCTTTGACCTTAAAAATATATGTATAGGTACCTATGTTCTACATTCAAATTTCACACTTCTAACAAACCACACCCAACTACATGCAAACATTCATTGCATGAATGTAAAAATGGATCCCATTATTTGAAGTAATCCATAACTTTTTTTGGTTCACTAAATGAGAATTCTTTAGTGCTACATTGTGGAATGTCACAAATGAGGTACAAAGACGTTATGAACTGAAATATCAAGAAAAGAATTGCAATATCAAAGTTGTCATATTATTAAACGTCATGTTATGGAGATAAGCTCAAGTTTATGGTGTTTTAGTTAGTTATTTATTTGGTTATCAGAGGTTGACAAAAATCTGGTATCTCTCCTTTCGGACATAAACCCCAAATTACACACTTAATTCATTAGAGTGAAATGATAGTTACACTCTGCATAAACCAGTGCCATTCTTGCAGTTCTATCTCAGTGACATGTAATACGATTTTAGATCTGAGATGGCTGAGGTAAAGCATATGAACCTCAGACGGAGAGCCAAAGAAATTGACGTGGTTAAGATTGATGACCTCAGATCTTCTATTTTCATTATTACTATGCGAAGAGGATATCAGGAAGCATAATAGTCAAAGCGGGAGATAAATACATAAAACTTGATTTCAATCAGGGGTTAAAAAGTAATCAATAGGTTACAACTCAGTGACCACTCTGTTCCTAATGGACGGAGTTATCACTAAGATAATCAAACCAGGGGGAAATTGGCGGACAAAAATGTAAAATTTTGCTCACTCAGCACGTAATTTCAATAACTGTCGAGTAAACCCAGGGTAGAGCAAATAACTGCTCCAGGGTCACTGGGAAAAAGATACCAGAGTGGAAATTACAGATGGTGGACAGTCCCGGTCCATGCAACTTATGCACTAAAAATCTCTCTAAATACAGCCTATAATCAGTAAAATTGAGCTTAAACTAGGAATCTGGTTGTGGCAATAGAAAGTGGAAGGCAGGATTATCCTTCAACAATGGTGGCGGTTCAACCTCAGCAATGTCAACCTCAGGCATTGACTTAGATATATCGTCCACGGAGAACGGGATACTGCACCACATCAATAGTTGAAAGTTAGTATCCCACATTGGGTGGAAAAGCCAAATACGCGGCACTACAGCATTAATGAATGTCCAAACAAACTATAATGGTACGTTCTTGACACTACACCGGTCAACAATTCAGGTTCAGATTGCGCACTAGCAGTAGGGTGTGCTCATACCTAGAATCGTCATCTAACAAGAAAGAGTTGCTGACAGCACTGTTTGAATCCTCTGTCATTAGAACTCTCATATTCGCTATAACCTGTAATGAAACAAAGGGGAAAGAAAACGATCAGCAGAGGGTTAAAAGTTGAAGAATTCGAAAGATAAAATTGATATTCGATCTTAGCAAAGCTGTACAAAATACAAGAAGAATTACCTCTGGCGAGACACTGTGGGTGCCATACTTGTCGTCCCAGTACATAGTACTGATACGATATAGCTGCTGAACACTTAACACCTGTTCAGACAAGGAAGGCTCATAGTCAATATTTTTGCCCTTGAAATTTTAAATTAAACTCGAAATATTAAATTTTAACATGAGTCAATATTTTTGCCCTCGACCACCTGAAATCTCCATTTAAGGACATTCAATAGGTATTGGATGGTTACACACGAAACTGGCCATCCAGTGAATCAACTTACCGGGCAGAGATCATGAGTGATCTCATCAAGTGACTTCTTCGGCTTTTGATGAATGACCTGCGGTGTAATATTTTCAGCTATGAGTATTTGCGTCTTAAACCATTAGAAGCATTTAAATTCTGAAAGCGAAAGGAAATTTTAAAATCGAAATAATAAATTTTAAATATAAAAGGTAAAAACTGATAACATCGAATCCGCCATATCGAAAAAAGTAATGAAAATAAAATGCACCAGATTATTCAATTTAATTACGAATAAGAGGCTTAAGCAACATCTTGAAAGACAGAAAGCACGTACCAAAAATCCAACCGCCTGTCGGATGTACTTGAGCTCATCCCAAGATGCTCCAGCGTACTACAAAAAAGAACGCGTTTCAAAAACAGGCAAAAGGTGCAGAAGCAAAAACTGAAAGAACGACCTGAGTTCCAACTAGACAACAATAACGACGTGTGAAAAAATAAAAAATCATTAAAAAAAAAAAGTGTTCAAAATGATGAGGATATACCTCCACTCCGGCCTCATATATCCAATGTTCAAGTTCTGCTAACCCAGCTTTCACATACTCTCCGTTGCTAAATGAGCAACACTCACGTCTCAGCAGCAAACTGCGTTGGATCACAATATTTAGAGTCACAATATGAAAGCTAAGACATGCACGGTAATTGCAAGCGTCAGGGACTAGAACACACCAGTAATGGTGTTACGAGGTATGAGATTGACACAAATTTCCCACTATACTCGCAGAAACATGCAAAGCAACTCAGACCTCACCTGTTAAACAGCTGAACATTGATGAACGAAAAGATCTGGGTGAAGAGTTTGCGAACAAGGAAAGGAGGAGCCTGTAATCAAAATAAGGATCAAGTACAGGTTACAATTGACACTTCGAACTTTTTCAATGACTAGTTATCAAGTTAGACTTAGTTCCAACTCCTTGTCTATCTAAGCAAAGACCCAAGTCATCAAAGAACAAAACAAAACAAAACAAAACAAAAACAAAACAAAAACAAAACAAAAACAATAAAATTTGAAGATCAGAAGGCTCACATGATTGGCACGCATAGTGCTTAGCAAGGAACTAAGGCTGGAGATAATACTGTGCCAGTGGCTGCTGAGTGTCTGCTGTGCATTCACGTTCGAGCTTGGTGACCTTGAAACCTTGCCTAGACTAGCCCTTGAGGTCCTTGGTGCCTGCCGAATGTTTTAAAAAAAGTCCATCAACACGACACCCAATTGTCGAATTAAGAAAAACAGTCATTAAAACTTAAGCAGGTATGGTTAATTCACTACAAGAACTGCATAGTTAGGAGTTACAGAAAAGCATAATTCACTTTAAAATATAGACATTTCAGCAGCCAGCTCGTATGTTGAAAATGTCGTAAGGAGAAAGAGGGTCATACTTGGATGCATAGTCCAAGCAAAGGAGAAATCTCTTTCTTCAGATTGTCGCGGACCATGCCATAAATCTTCTCCACATATGCAGTGAGTTGCTGCTTAAAAAGCAGAGCAGGGTATTTGGCTTCTACTTGCCGCGACATATCTAACCCGCCCATGATGCCTCCATTTCCAAATGTGACGGAACCTGGTTGAGGAGACTGACGGAATCCCTGACAGCCCGACTAGATGTCAGAATCTCGCGACACAACACAATAGAAATGTTGAATAGTCTCAGCAGTCTAATTAAACTTTATAAACCTCTTAAGTGTAAACTGATTGTAATTCACTCGATTGCACGGAATGTAACCACTTACTTGCGTCATTCTACCAAACAATGTCACAGAATTAGAGCGACGCCTTTGAGGAGCACCCCCTGCAGCTCCGCTTGCTTTAAGTGTTTTTTGCAACAGAAATAGCAGAGTAGAGGTATTGGATAACCAGTAGGCCAGCACATCGTTGTTATCTTGGCTCTGCAAGAGAACATAATCTAACGTTAAAACCTACTGCTCGACGTTCCAAGTAGAGACTCCCATGAAATGGGTGGAGGATATATGTACAGCATTGAAGCAACTCAACAATTCTAAGCCACAAGCATAAACTGACTCTAATGAGCTCCAATAAAATGGTAAATTCAGTGTTAAGCCTAAAGAAAGGCTATTACAGCAACTAAACTAATGAACTGCTTAAAATACTGCCTAAACTTGAATAAATCGTCATTCAAAGAAGCAAGCTTACTTCAATAGCAGTTCCGATTGTTTGGATGATTCGGTCGAAGACATTGGTTCTCTCAGCTTCAAAAGAGCGCCACTGAAGCAAGGACTTATACAAAATACAAGCAGCGATAGGTCGATCATTGTTGAAGCCAACATCTTGCATGACACATTGCAGCAAAGAGTCTTGATTTTCCTGAGGGTAAAAATTCACGAAAAGAACAAGGAAAGAAGCAGTTTAATTATTGAATCGAAAATCTGTAAGCTCCTCATACGCGTCATGAAAAATCTGAATACAGCAAGAACAGTGCTATGCTGTGCAAGCCAGTCACAAAATTAAAATATTTAGACTTCACCATATAACTCATGCCAACAAATAGCCAGTTAAAACTACCTGCTGTCTATCGATCAGCAACTTTTGACGCCTCTGTTCGGCTTCACTGTGTTCCTTCTCAATCTGTGCTGTGTTTGGCGACTCCTGCAACACAAAGTGGAGCAATTAATCGAGTTCCCACTCCTAAACCTATCACTGGCACCCACATAATCCTTTGTTTCACAATAAGCCAACATTTAGTTCAAAGGTACAGCACTACGCATGTATTCGTGTTAAGGAAAGTCAAAACTGTCCGAGAAAGTATACCATACACAAAACAAGCAGCCGGATAATAAATCCTCACCGGCACAGAACGAGATTCTCTGTGATCATTGTTGGCGAGATAACCGTTATCTGGAGTCCTCTGAAAATTCAAAAAAGCAAAATTAAGTGGAATATTAGTAACAGACTAATGCAGAAACTAAAACTACATCTTCGCTGAAGTCATCAGGCAAGGAAAGATTAAGAGATAACAGAAAAGGATATTACAGGACATAGAATACTTCAAATGGTTTAGATTATATGAATAACAAGAGCCAAATGTAAATATCCTTCCTGACATAACATGTTACCTGAAACACAGTGCTCTTGAACCGATTAGACAAGCCCTTGGTCGGTGATAGCACAAGGGTTTGTTGACGGAGAACTTGATTCTCAGACTCCATGTTCGCTAATTTTTCTTGCAAGCTACGACACATTAAACACTCTCATTAATTATTAATATGCATTGCCATCGAAGTTGAGAACTGCTTCCGACATGCTCAACTCGGAAACATTGCAGAAAGATAAATTACGACCAAGAACTGCACAAAAAGAAAAATGACTCTAAAGAGTCAGATCATACAATAGTTCTGCTTCCAGTTGTAGAGCAAAGCGAAAATCCAAACTTTCAGAAAAGAACAAACCTCTGAAGAGCTTCTTGTGACTCAGTGACCTTGGCTTCTGCTTGTTCTGCCCTCTTGAGTCTCTGCTCACTTTCATCTTTAGCTTTGGCGAATTTCTCTTCAGATTCTGATACTGTTTTCTTCAAATCTTCCAATAGGGCCTGCAAAAAGCACCAATCGGAACTTCACCTGTGTAAATCTGCAAGGACAAGAACTTCGTATCCATACTAATTGTAATTCAAATGAGCTGACCTAACATCACTGGTAGGAACAACGGACAAGTGACGAAAAGCTTGGACAAGAAACCTGCAATTCTTGGTTTTCTTTCGTTAGCTTCTCCACTTTAGCGTCAAATACTTCCACCGGTGGCACTTCTTTTATAACTTGTGCAGCTTGACCAAGAGCCAACTTATTATCTTCAAGTTCCTTGGTCAACTGTGAGTTGGCTTTCTGTGCTTGAATCTGCTCCTCCTTCAATGCTGCTTGTAACTTTCCAATTTCTTGGTTCTTGGCTTCCTCCATATCCGTCTGCACAAGGAGCACGAAAATATACTACTTAAGGCGCTGCAAACTTGGCTACCATCTATGAACAATACTAAGTCTATACTTTTTCGCTCAAGCCAAAAGTGTGGTCCACCAACGACTTTTCGAAGAAACCACACAAAAAAAGAAGACAAGGATCTAAAAGGATCCACATTAAACTCTTTATGAAAGAAGTCTACCAGGAAGAGACCACATAACCAGAGCTTCACTTAACATACCCGCATGCGCTTCTCCAGCTGTAGACGCCATGTGAGCTCCTCACATCTCTTCTCCAGCTTCGTCTTTGCTTCTTGCAGAGCACCCGTTTCTTTAGCAGCCTACGAAAACCACAAAACAAATAAAAAATGCAGTCCAACCAAAAAGTAAATTTGCTGAAGGGCAAAATACTGTCTCGTGATCATCATTAGAGGAATCTCTCTAGTGACATTGAATATATACACGAGTTTCACAAGGAATAGGAAAATGGAGGAAGGAACCGCTCAATACTATACCCCAACACCTTTGATTAAAAGTAATAACCCACACCCTTAATTACCTAAACGGGGCGGAGTGGGGGGGAGTGGGGGGGGACTACTGCAGCGACATATACAAAATATTATAAATATTTCACCGACTCGCAGCTTAACAAACTGAGAAACAACAAGAACCAGTCCAATCAGGTACTTACAACTTTAAGCTTCTTGAGTTCATTTCTGGCAACCCTGCCCCTCCAAGCACACTGAATTGTAATAGCACTTTTTCGGCACTTCCTGTATTCTGATCTAGCCTTGTATCCACGCCAATGAGCCTTTGCAAGACAGAAAAAGATCGATCACAACCTTGCCAATCCAGTAATAAAAGTATCAAAGAAACAGATCTTGAACGCCTGCTGCTCCTCACAAGGATGACGGAACGGAATAAAACATATAAAAAAGTACGGACATATAAAAATCTCGTTTACCTGAATACGAGTAGCAGCTTTCGTCTGTCTTATGAATCTGGCATTCTTGCGGGATTGCATTCCTCGGAATCCAGATTGTGCCCTGATAATTGCCTCCTTGATCCGAAGGAATTTTCTTCGAGCGATCCACATCCGAACATTCTTTTGAATCATTGTTGCAGCAGCTTCTTGACGCAATTTCTGATATTGCTTACGAGCAAGGTACCCTGCACACACGCATTACATTCATTAGATACCTGAAAGCCTAACAAAGAATGGAACTAACCAACTCCTAAAAATTCAGGGAGTCCAGAAATGCTCCTGCTTAAGACACATACCTCGCCAGTATCTTTGGATTGTAACTGCGGCTCTTCGCATGGCAATGAATTGCCTTTTAGCTAACCAGGTTCGCACTTGTCTTTGAATAGTTTTTGCTGCATTATTCAACATCTCAGCTCTTTTGCCATCAAGTTCAGCCATTTGCCCAGATCGCAAGAACACCTTCGTTTGGCCAAGCTGAATCCACCCAATTTAACATCCACGGGTTCTTCAATTAAAGGTAACATAGGGCCATGCACAGCGCAGTGATTGAAGCAGGACAACAGTCTCACCAAACCCACACCAATGGACTTTTCTCAGTGTAAAAACGGAGAATGTGCCACAGTACCTGATAATTCTCCAGACTCATTTTTTTTAAAAGTTGTTCTATTGCCGCCTTCTCATCGTAACTGTTTGAAAATGCACCAGAACAAATTATTCTTCCAAGCTACCAAGTGACCTCATGTGTTAACCATATTAAAGACTCGCGAAGTAAGCTTGGCACAAATAAAGACGGGGCACATTTGGAGAGTCTAAAGCATGTGAACATATCTACTAACGACGGCATACCGCGTGCAATGTCGTAAATACTTACTTTCCCTCAAGAACCTCTTGTGCCAGCATCCCAAAACGATCGAGAAACTCATAAAAGGTCCTCCGCGATGGGTACCCCGCACAGCTGATTCGGATGGCCTCCAACACTCCCTGTACAGGACCGAGTAACACTAATTTAACAAAATCCATGTGTCTGTACTGCCTTCCGGGCTAAAAAGAGCATTAACCAAAACTAAAGCTAAGCGAGGAAGACCACCACAAGGAAGAAAACACTTACTCCACATCGCAGCTGCTGGATGACATTCAAATTCTCAAAGCGACCAGGCTTGTGCACCATGTTAGGTTTCACACATCGGATATAGTGGGGTTCGGTTGTATTCAAAGTTTCCATTAACGCTCCCAATTGTTGCTGCACAAAAGCTTTGAACTCAGTATAATGTAGCCAGCTGTGCATGCCGAGGATATGTATTGAGGTAGTATATGAGATGCTAATGTACGATCCCATCCAACATCTTCAGGCTAGAAAAATAGTAAAAAAACACAGAAGCCTTACCACTACCATACAAATACGTACTTGTAAACCACAGCGTCAACTCTGTAACAGGTCGCAAGATGGGCGAATGTCAAGGGGCTAAAAAAGGTTCTCTTTTCTCACTGACCTTGAAACGAGTGCCAATGGAAGTGAACTTGTACGAGGATTTGGAGCCTTGATCGGGAGAGCTGGGAAAAAGGCTTGCGACAAAGGAGCATCTAGAGGATCCCAATAGTAACTGATGCTCGGCAACAACATAATCTTTGTTCTTATCCAGGAACAAGTCAGTCTGGTAAGTAACCTAGCAAATAAGAACAGATGATTGCTCAGTGGATTGGCGGTATGCGATTGCTCATGAATCCATGGAGAATTTCGATGAGTCTTGAAAAAATAGTTAGTATCACGATAAGCTTGATCAGTTAAGCTTCAGAAAATTGCGAGGCATTTGCACCCAGCTATCAATCATGTTAGCAAATCTTCACAGAAGAGCGCAAGAGTTGGTACTCACATCTCCTGCGTAATGATTAATTGTGAAGTCAGTGCGAGAAAGCTTAGGCTTAGTCAACCGCTTGTGGTTTCTATACTGCTGAAACAACTTCGTAGCGAACGTCTCGTTTGTTGACTTGGGAAACATGCTGCAAGGGTAAAGACTCACTTTCAATCCTCAACCCCTAGATAACTCTTGCATCCTTTACAGAGAAGACTTTCACACGCAGTCAATAGTTTCGAGAAAAGAATAGTGGATTTAAAAGGGCTGTGATGCACACCATGCTTCATCAAGAAGAGCAATAATGCCAGAAGGTTTCTGCACAACAAAGAGACATGAAAAAAATGTAAGAAATGTAAGGACTACGCGTACATTTAATTCCACATGAAAGTATTATTTCGAACCGAAAATAATGTTTGCGGGAACAAACCCGCAAATTAGTTAGTTCAATTGGAGATAGGTGTGCACGGACAAACCTTCTCAATGAGATCCAGAACATCTTGGTTGTCAACAAACTCAATGTAGCTCCAGTTGATGGCCTCTTTTGTATACTCTTCTTGCTCCATTTTAAAGACATGCTGAAATGCAACCAAAAAATTATGTAAGCATTCAATATCCACCTACAGGCAGTTGTGACTAATTTCAACCCTCCAAAAGATGTGCAGCATTGCAATACATCACCTAGACGCACAAACAATGTAAACATAGTTTACGAAACAGTTCATGTAATATTGACTAGGATTCTAAACAAAGAAATCCACCAAAAGTTGTAAAAGCAGAACCTGATTGAAATGCTGCTGAAGCTTCTCATTGGCCAGATTAATACAGAACTGCTCAAAACTGAACCATTTAATACAGTCTATTAGATGCAGAAACGGTGGGGGGGGGGATATACAATTAAAAATTGAGCAGAAAAATCGCATATTTCAACATAAAAATATCCCAATTTTAGGAATCAGATCGTCATTATCACAAAGATGTACAGATCAGGAGCAATTAGAACACCTGAAAATTGATGAAGTTCGAACTTACCTGTTGAACTTGAAGCTTTCAAATCCGTAGATATCCAACACACCAACCAAGTACGGAGAATCTGGATCTTGACCAATAGATCTGTTTACTTTGTCCACCAACCTTAAAACAATGCGATATAAGGGACTGCTTAGAATTTACCATAAAAGATTTACTTGCCTCTAGCATATTGAAAACTGGACTGGAGTGTTGGGGAGTATGTAGGGCTACTAGTCAACAATATTCAAAGAGTAAACTGAAATCATTTGTAAATTGTTCGGTGTAAGATGTACCAGTCAAACAGGCGAGAGTAAATTGTCTTCGCCAAAGTATCCCGGTTGATGGTAGCCTGTTCCTGATTCAAGGTCATCGTGATATTGCCATCACGGGTAACAAGAACTCGGGTACATAATGAATCCAACAGTCCTTTCGCTTCACATCTATCAAAATCAGTAAAACAATATTAGAGATTCAGTAACAAAACCACAGCCCGTTTGTAACAAATATGAGATGGTACAACAAGAAAACATGACACTTAGATGTACTGATACTAACAACAAGTGGAAAATGCATTGCGGCTCTCGGAAAGCTGCAGATTACTTCTGACACAATAAACAAGACTCACTGAAGAAGTTCAGCAGCAGCCTCCAGATGGAACTTGGACTGGTCATCTTTGAGCTTTGATGTGTCGGAATCTGATCCTGCGACAAATTCAATATTTCCTAGATGCAGCACTGACGCTACTACTCGGAAAATGGCTTCCTGTAAATCGACCATAATAGCCAATCAGAATAACCAAGATAAGAACACTGTACCAATCGGAATCAAAGTCACAGGTAAAATGTGACCAAACCATAATCAACTAACTGAACCAACTTGAGCAGTGTTCACCATACCGCTACATCTCAAACAGAGGACAAGATAAATAGTAGTCCTAGAAATCTATGATTACCTGCTCTTCAAGGTTAATACCCACAACATCCATAGCCCTGCGTGTTTTAACATATTCCCGACCATTGGTAGTACCGTTTAACTCGAAACAGTCACTTTGATTCAAATAGTGAAAACTTCTTGCGTCCCCGAGTTTATATCTTTCACAATCCTGTAACAAACCCCAAAAAAATCGGGTCAGCTAATTTTGCCTGTTAATTAATAAAACATTTTGCTTTCGGAGTGCACCAACCTCAAAACGCATATGTTTCATTAACCAACCACTATATCACTCCGCAGAAATCATTTCTATGTAATCCACTACAAACATCACAACCAAGCACACGCGAAACTCCGTGTGGAAACAACTTTTACCTCTGGTGACGCACACAACTGGTAAAAGCAGTGGTAATTCCGTTCAGGGTCTGCAATCTGAACAACACGAGATCTCTCCAGAAGGTATGTACGCACAGCAGCACCTGATATCCGACCGCTCCTGTCGAATTGAATCTCCACGAATTTACCGAATCGACTGATGTCATCACGACAGCAAAGTCAGTACAAAATTGGATAACAAGGTCAAACAATACACATAGCGACATGCCAGCGATATAACATTAAGTATGTTAAAGTACGCCCAAAAGATACACGCTTATACGCTTCCGCATACCTTGAGTTATCATTGCGAACCGTCTTGGCATTTCCAAAAGCTTCAAGAAGAGGATTGGACTACACATCAATCAAACCACAGAGCATTGAGTAAGCCCTAAACTACCAATCTCCTCCTTGCAAATTTCGTTTTTTTTATGTTTGACATGTAACTCACTTTATAATACTGCTAAAACAGAGATAATCTAGTAGTTTTTAGGTTAGTTCAACATTGGGAAAGGCTACAGATAAGCCCTCGACTGAGGATAATAGGTGTACTTTCTCGATAACAAATGGCATTTCCTTCGGGCATTTCTGCGGAGACTTTATCAGTTCACCTTTCAGCCAGACGTGTGACAATCTTTGACGCCTTTTCTCTTGCATGGATTTTCGTTCATCTATATCCTTTCTTGAATCTGCTGAGATAAGGGTTTTACCTTCTCAAGCTCATTTCAAGCACAGACAAAAGGATCTTCACTAGATGTGACCAGCAATGGTTTTCCATTCATTACTTAAATCTCCCATTTAAGTTAAATCTGCATCCATGCCATAATTACTTTTTATAACGGTTTACAAATGTTTGAAAATAATACATGTTTGAGTATGAACAACCTCGTAATCTAGCACATATGCTTGAAGTTGTTATGCAAATTATGATTCATGTTTTTGCTTATACAGCATGGAAAGAAATATACCTCAAGGACTTGTTGCTCTACGGTTCGTCCATCAGTGTTTGCTCGACCACCCATGTAGGCCAAATACTGCATAATCAATTTTGTTGTCTCTGTCTTCCCTGCTCCACTCTCTCCACTGACTAGTATAGATTGACTCTTCTTCTCTGTAACCATTGCTCTAAAATGCAATACAAAATTAATCATTTTTACAGTCAGACCTAAACACATGCAACACGTTCAAGGTCATTTAAACTAATAAGCATTCTACCAGTACTAACAGCAATATTGGAATTATCTAGATAAATGAAAACCACCAAGCAAAGAGTGGGCAAGTACTTTGTCATACATTGCACTGCACTAATTACATCCATATAGATGGATTATACAACATTTCTCCCGAAGAACATAGTAAACATACCTGTATGAAGCATCTGCAACTGCAAAGACATGGGGACTTAGCTCTCCAAGTGGTGCTCCCCTATATTGCTCCATCATGTGGCTATTGTACAAATGCGGTAGCTTCGCAAAAGGATTAATTGCAATCAAGATATTCCCCGTGTATGTCTGTCATTCACGTTCAACAAATAGTCTTAGAAATAGTATGTGTCACCTCTACTACAATCGAAAATCACATAACACCATGTGATGTGATATAAACTGCAGAATTCAGTCCTAAGTATGTTGGAATACTCACGTAAATCTCATCCAATTCATATCTACTTGCGAGGTTGTACAGCACCCCTGGCTCATGTAAATAAGCCAGCTTCGTCATGTCATCCACACCACCAGGCTGTGCGTCTGGATCCTTAGCGTGAACATTTGATAGAACTGTGGTAACCTGCATCAGAACCAGTCACATCAGTGGCAATTCATAAGAACATCCAAATCGCTACAAAAAATCCGATTCATGAATGCTAATAACAGGAACTAGCTTACTCGACTCACAAGAAAGTTCTGAACATACCGAACAGCACCCCAGTATCTCTGTTGAAGAGGAACTTAAGAAACTTCTTATTAATTCTTCATTCCATAAAGAACTTGAAAATGCAAAATCCAGCATATTTTCTTTATTGTCGTAGTTACCATTAACCAAGGATTTGTGCAAACGTAGACTGTGGGTCTGGGGTATATATCGCACATTGCAAAGTTTTAAACTAATTGAATAGACAAACTCGAAGAGACTCCTAGATCTACCCTACGAGTTCCTAAACCAAAGGATGGGGTAGAATGGATTAATCAAGGTCAAACTTATCATTACTCGATAATTTTTTAAGATCTTATTTTCCACCCATGGCAAACGTGGTTCATCCTCTAACACAACCGCCAACCCCGCCGTCGCCTACTAGGTCTCAAGCACCATGTTCTCTTTTAAAAGTACGAGTCAGAGGACCACTCTGAATCACCCGGGAGCGGATCAAATTCTATGGCTTATCCATAACAAAGTCTATTTCAGAACCACAAGAGTACATGGGACAGCGCACTTAATCAGGTTCACAGCCAAATCTTACAAACTACCGTAATTGACAAGCATAGTGCGCATGACAAAACTCAGCATAAGCACTCAAAGTGCACGAAATGAGCCCAGGCGAAACCTTGACAAGTGAAATGATAAATTCAACGCATAGTGCGGTGGAGGTCTCCGCGAGGTACTAATCCTACAACCCCGTCGAAAATGGTGGAGATGAAATTCTACCAAATAGATTCGTATTCCCAGATCATATATCGACAATCAATCACTTAGATAACAACTGTGAACAGACGATTGAAAAACCTCCAGAGGAATCGCTTTTGCAGGATAGCGAAACCAAACCCCGAACCAATTAAGAGGCACGTTCGGCATTAGAATGCAACCGCTATCTCGGTCAAGAGATGAACTGGTGGAAGTCCCCAGGGCACAACATTGCAAAAATCAACATAGCTCACGAGAATGAATCTTTCATCACCACTTAGATGCATGGTTACTAGCCTTGTTCCGAGAAGCAGGCTGCAAGTATTCACCTCATTTCCCTTGACGGAGCGTACTTTGACGTTCTTGCCATTAATCTCTAGGACTTCTCCTTCCACCCAAGCCAACTCTGGGTCCTCCACCCAGACTTGTGCCCCGATCGTCACATTCCCTGATGCCTGCACGAGACCAGAGAAAAGACCTCCAAATTCAGGCACGATAAAAACATGAAAAGGGTAATACATGTTCCAATAAAATGAAATATTTACAGTTAGAAGCTTCAAGAACAGTGATGGACAACCCGCACCGAGTCTTGAAACCTCGACTGTCCGCAAGAGAATCCTCGGATAGCGAGGGTGTGAAGACACATGTAATTCACAACAATGAACACTACTCGTGCCCTGATGATAAAACTCGACCTACACCAGTGCCATTCCAGTCACTGACTTGGCTACAATGCGAGACAGGTGGTTCCCTAAACACACGACTTCGATTTAAGCGCAGGGCATAGAAAAACCTCACGGAAAGCTCCGCATCTGTAGGCAAGACGTCCCAACTCCAAAACCAGAATGGTATAGAGTTCATCGATCATAAACCAAGTTACACGAACTCGCGTTTCTATGTTCAATCGATGCGCCGTCAGTTGATTGAAGCAAAAAAAATATATCCCAGGAAACGAGAGAGGGCAGCCAACAGTTGAAGCCTAGCACATTCAGGTGTAAAGATTCACCCTGTAGACCCCTCCGCCACTTTCGAGATGGAGTGGGTATGGCATGGTAAACCTTAAGATGCAATATAAAGCTGCTAAACTGAAGCAACACACAGCAAGGTCTGTCCTCCATAACATTCTACTGAGACACACCATTCCGAAAATACAAATCGTCCGAAATCCACGCCCGCATTGCGATTCCAGTGACTACGGTCTCAAAAAACGATCAAGTCCCTGGCCCCAAGTCCACAATGCCAGAGCTAGTTCAAGCCAGAGACGGTGACATTCTCTCAATAGGTCAGAAGCCTGATGCAAGGGCACCTCGTGAACCCGGAATTTGAGCCTCTCAAAGCTCTAACATCGTACAGTATGTGGTCAATCCCACACAGCAGCGACATGGAAACAGATCCGGAGAAAAGAGATGGAAGAGGGAGGGGAAGGACAAATGGTTGTACACTTCCACGATAAAGTAAACATTAAGAGCCACAACGAAACACTTCGTCTCCCAGAGAATCCAGCGAAAGGCACCCGATCCGTTCTTCCCGAGTCCTTACCACTCTATCCCACGCATTCAACCCTGAACAAAACCTGCCACAGAATCGCATCTTAACGTCACACAAACTAACTACATTTCAAACTCCACACTCACCATGATTGACGATGGCGCCACGCGAAACTCCTGATTGCGATCACCTCATCTACACTGGTGTGGCCTGCACAAGATTTAAAACACGACAACTCGCACGCTCCACAGACGGAGCCCCCGCTCCACAGCACTGATCCACAAACTCCGCGCTCACTCCCCCGCTAATCACCTACGAGCCACCCCTCGCCCGCCTCCTCCCTCCTGATCCAGCAAATATTGCAACGCACGGTCTATCTGACCGCTTCCACGGCGAGAAAAATAAAAATAAAAGTAAAAAAAAAATGCCCGGGCTTGATGATGTTCCTTGAGAAACAATCTGCGCGCCTCTCCGCGGCTCCGAGAGGGACCGAGGCGAAGTATTGATTCGAGTCAGTGTGGAGAGCAGATGCGGAGGGGAGGGAGGGGAAGGGGGACAGCACTAACATTACGAAAGCAAAATGACAATGGTAAAGGAGACTCCCACGCACTTCCACAGACAATGGTAGTGTGATCACTGAGGTCTATCACATGTGGGCCCTTTAGACGATAACCAAACGATAAATTTTGCGATCCGCGTCCTGTGTGGGGACGAAGTGCACCCCGGGAGGACGACCCCGAGGGGACGACAGAAATCAGAACGAACAAGGCGGAATTCAGCGGGGTCCACGAAGGCGGGAACGGCAAGCCCCGGGGCCCTGATTCGGTGACTGCGATCACGTACATCCTGCTCAAATGTGGCTGAACCTGGCCCGGCCTGGCCAGGCCTGGGTGGGACCCATCCCATTTGCACCCCCGTGCTGTACGTGTACAGTCATGTATGTGTGTATGAGTACAAGTATTGTTGTGTATAGGAGAGTAGTGTATATTTAGTTAGGGAGAGAGGTGAGGTAGTGGAAAGATTCCAGTTGGGTTGGAGGGGGGGTTCAGGTTTCATGTCAAGGCTGCCTGACCGACTAGGCCCTGCTTCCTGGTACTGGGAACGATTTTTTTTTTTTTTTGTTTTTTTTCTTAGGACGGTTGCTTGTTTGAATGCCAACTACTACAGGGTATCCATTGTGAGCAGTTGCAGTGCAGTGGTGTCGACGACTGTGCTGTTGTAAAGAGTGTGCAGAGTGGTGCCCTCCCTGCACTTGTGCAATTGTTACTGTTGTTCCCTAGCGACCCTGCTTGGCCTAGCTTGGGTTTGAAGGGAATTGGATCGATCTCGGCCTTGGTGGTGTTCATCATGCCAAGTCACTCATTCGAATGAATTGTGTCAGACCTGAAATACCTGCAACTGGAACAAATCATCACAACTCCCTCCCGTCTCCCTCCCTCCCTCTCCCCCAACTGCCCCACTTCCCCACAGACAGAGCTCTGTCCTGCTGCTGCCACCACCACCACCACCACCTCCTTCATTCCTTCTTTCCTTCCTAACTGGGCTGGGGGGGTGACCACGATTTCTTTATTGCATGAGTCACAATTTTCCTTTTCCTGTTGATCTATCCATCCATCCTCATTTTCCCAGTTTTCCCTTTGCTTTTGGTCAAGGTTGCCACTTTGGTATGAGCCATGTGGGCAATGATCAAATTGGATAAAGAGGGAGGGGGGGGGGGTGAGAGAGTTGTGTGACATAAAGAGAGCAAGGGCTCCTCTATTGAGGGTTGAGACTCCTCCTCCAGTGTGTGCAATGTTTGAGCATGGTATTGCTTAGCACCAAATCACTAGGAATTTGAAACAGGAGGCACATACAACCACATTCCCCCATATGTTGCACCACCCTTTCTTGTTGCATTGGTGGGTGGGGCATGCCAAACTCATTCCAGACAGCAATACTATTTCCTGACCCCACTGTCAAAAATAACAATAATAATGATAATAATAATAATAATAATAATAATAGTAGTAGTAGTAGATGATCACAATACTATGTGCAGCTCCATTCACAATTAGAGAGAATGGTGGGCTAACTCCCTTTGCCACACCAATGGGTGATTACTACCACTACAACTGTGTTGTGTTTCATCCTCCATTGTCTTTGTTGCCTCCTCAAAACTTTGTACCTGTCTTAACTCCTTGTGTAGTGGGTTTCAGATGGACAGATCTCAGAAGAGGAGAGAAGATGAATGAAAGGAAAGAGGGTTGGGAGCCTGCCTTGCTCCCCAGGGGAAAAAAAAGTACTCTTCACATCAACACATGTGTGGGACTTATTTGGCTCTCTTAGTACACACCTTAGCTATATACACCCACACCCCACACACTCAACCTCAAGCATAGGAGTGGACATAAGTGAGAATTAAAAATCACAATTAATATGTACACTCTTGTATGTAGGGAGAAAGAGAAAGGATGAATGAATGAATGAATGAAGGGACTTGCAAATCATGCCCTCCCTTAGCCCTGATTACTACCGCTCAACTCAGCAGTTTTCTTTAGTGTAAACCCATCCCCCCCAATGCCCAAGAAGAAAAAGAGCACACAGTTATATCACATACTGCATGATCAACAGTGTTGTTAACAACATCAAAGTATTTGTATTACGCACTTTTAACACAAATTCAAAAATATTGCTTATTTGGCCAGCATTCATGAAAGTTATTTATAGGATTTGAAACCAATTCTTGATCATGTAGAAGGTTCTTTGTTTATGAAAAAGAAAAAAGAAAAAAGAAAAAAAAAAAAAAAAAATCTGTTACTTACCAATTGAAATAATGTAAAACGAGAAGTGAAATATTAAATCGAATGATTAAAAAAAAAAGAAAAGAAAAGAAAAGAAAAACACACACACACACACACAACCTCTTCATGTAAAATTATTATTATTATTATTATTAGGAATTCATAATGATCTCTTTGTCACTGGTTGTATGTACAATTCCTTAGATACAAAGGATATATTGTTATGAATTCTATGATGTAACATGTATGATTATATTATTCTATTTTTTCTTTTTAAAAAGAGTAGTGTATATTGATGTATATTCATGCAACCTCAATGTATGTATTTATAACTTTTATGGTCAAAACACATATAAATAATTTGATGATAGGAATACAATGTTCACATATTCTAAGACATAAAAATATAAAATAAACATATAAGAAGATATAAAAATACATTAAAATATTAAAACACATTTTTTCTTTTGATAAAGAAATATTAAAAATTTCAAAATTGTAACATCAACATTCATTCATAAATAAATTTAGTTTGAAGGACCTAATTATGGTGTACCTCTAACACTTGCCAACATCTTCTTATAAATTTCATTTTAAAAGTATCATTAAAATTATGAATTTTGATGTAACTTACAGATTACAATATTTTAAATTTTAAATGTGTTATTCATTCATTTATTTGTTTGTTTATAAATTTCTGTTGTGCTCAAAATAATGAACTATTATTTAAAAGTTTAAAATACTACCATTATATATATATATATATATATATATATATATATATATAGTTACATTTACTAGTTATCACATTATTTAAATGAAGAAAATTTTACTATTGGAACCAAATTTTGTATTTAAGCTTCCTAAGTTTTTCGATGACATATAACCAAACAAGTACATACTTTTACAAATAATAATAGGAATCTTCATGCCAAAAACTGTTTTTTAATTTAAAAATAAAATAATGTTGTAAAAATCTTTAAACTCTTTTCAGATGTTTTCTGAAATTCTGTATTTAACAACTGGTATTTAAACTAATATATTAAAAATAAAAGTATTTATAAACTAGTTTTGAAGTTTTATATGCCAAATTAACTACCAAATTTTGTAACCTACAAACAGTTTAGAAAATACATTTTTACCAACAGCCACACATGCCTAAAATATCATGATAGTTAAAATTAAATAGAAGAATTAAAAAAAAAAATTGACAAAATATATTATTATCTCAACATAATTTCTTATAAAATTTATCTAATGTAAATGCAAATAGTGTCAAATTTTGGCTATGTTGTAGCTTTAAACAAAACAAAGATGATATTGTTTTACGTGCAAATATTGCTATACAATTTCATTTGTTACGTTGTTTGTAACAAAGTAAGAGATTCAATCTTTGTCTTCTTAAACCACTCTTGTTTTGTATTCTTATTAAAATTCAACCCCTGAACATAATCGAGCTCTTTTAGAAGATTCAACCAGGACCCATACTAGGAAATGTATTTCTAGAATTTCTGTATCATACTATTCGATTATAAAGTGAATTGTGCAACAAGAAAGGGACGCTAAACTGCCATAACTATTTAAAGAAATGCCATTACATGTTTCCATTGGTGCTCACATTAAGTCCAGAATGAATTGATTACAGAAGCTCTGTCTAGTTATTTCTGCATGAGATGCCATTTCTAGAGTGTGCAAAAGGGCATTCTATAAACAAAACTGGACATGAGGTTGGCGAAGTTTTGCAAAGCCCTCTCCATTGTGTCCAGTGCAGGATCTTGTGTGGGTGGCAGCAGTAAATGCCAACACCAAACTGTGCAATTCCTACATTCAAGCGAGAGCGTCCCGTTTCGTTTGTCTGGCTTGGTATCACCCCTTCCTTGCGAGCTTTGCAATGCCAAGTGCAGGTTGGTTCCTGTAGTAGTTGCCTAACCACTTCATTGCCCACGCCAAATGCCTCCATTTAGGTGGTGCATCTTTACCTGTTCTTGCTGCTGCTGCTGCTATGGCTAGCACCATTCGAGAGTATTTAAAAGAACAAAGCATCCGATCATTCTGTTATCGATTCCTCCAGTGCATGAATCACTGTCTGTCTCTAAAGCTTGCAGATTTGGGATGAGGGAGGAATGTGAGCAGACGTGATACTTCAGGGTCGACATTAACGATGACTTCTGCATGCCGTTGACGAGAACGACGCGGTCACCTGATGAGTCTGACCCAATAGGCCTCCCATCGTTTTGTTTTCCAGCTCAACGAAGAGTGAGTGGGTTGAATATCCTGGTGAAACAAGTGGGTTGTTCTCCATGGTCCTTTTCGCTGTGCATCGTTTGACTGACCCCAACATGCAGAACTATCAAAAGCTCCCACATGGTGAAAAACAATGCAAATGCCTCAATCAATACAATGTAACAGCGAAACATTCAGTTTGCCGTTAATCGAGATAGGCTTTGAGCTATGATGTGTCACAGCAATATGGCTTTTGCTCATTTTCAACAGGGAAACGAAATCGGCAAACGTTGAGAAATAGCGATGGCTGGACTGCAAGGTAGAAGATGGTCGTGCTCTGAAGCCAACGATTGTTGAGACCTAGTAACAATTCTGCTAGTTACTGATTTAGTTACGGATGCCGACAATAGTATTGGGCCCAAGTGAACTTTTCACAGAGAATTTTGTCATGTCAACTGCTCTCTGACGTTTGACTGCCTAAGTAGTGCCCCAGACAATTATTGAGCAAAAAGTACCGAGTTCTAGTTTCCTCATTCTCTTTGTTTATTACCCACAATTTAGTAACAACGAGCACCTTTTTCGTGGACATGTTCTGAAGTACAAAGCTACAGAAATCAGAGTGCGAATTCATTTCATTTTCAAGATAATAGTAATTAATTACTCCAATTTTGTTACAGAGGTGTGAACCAGATTTTAAAACATAAAGTAGGGAGGTGATTTCCAGAGCTCTTCTACGACATGCTTCTTCAGGCGCAGCTCCGATAATAACACCTCAATGTATGACTTCAGTGTTTAGGCTTCAGCTATGTGACACGATCAATAATTAACTCATCCGGTCTTGTGGCAGAGCAGATAATTAAATATTGCACTTATGTTGCGCTGATGTTTCACTTCATATCTTCAGATCTACCCCTAGTTTAGGAAGGAACTCGCTAAAAGATGCCAGTTCTCCAATGTTAAACAACCGCGGTCGGAAGGGCGACTCCAGCTGAGAATGTCTCTCAGAGATGCGCAAACACAAACGTTACGGCGTCAATCAGCACCCTTCTTTGCAATAAGTTCCGACATGAGAATTATAAAGAAAGAATCTCTTTCTACAGATGTTGACAAGCTTCTTGTTACAAACCGCAAGTAAAACTCAGGACAATGCCAATCATATGGAAATTGGATTGTCGTATGCTTCGCCTACAATGCCACAATGTCATGGTGCACCTTGTAAAAAAAAACGCTCATATTTCATAAAAGTTGAAATCTGAAGAGAGACTTTGAACCGCATCAATGACCATACCAAGTGGATACATCTGAGTAATAGATGACAGCCACAGATAACTATTGACAATTTTGCTTACGATGTGCCTGTACATTCCAGATTTCTCTTTGTGCATCTTTAACCCAGTGGGCAGCTTAAATCCCCGTGCAACTTCTCCATAATCGATTGTTCAAGCTTGTTAGTATCCAACACTACCATGTAATTATCTGTGATCAGGAATCTTGACTTCCAGCCAACAAGGCAGCAAAAACAATTACGCATCCTGCACCCCACGCTAACGGGGTCATAGACTCGTGAAGTAAGATGGCAGAAAATAATGCTCCCCACACAGGTTGCAATGAATAATACACCTGCAGCAACAGAACATTCGAGTTTTAACAAGGAAAGCTGTAATCTGAGGATTGATTATCTACACAATAGAGTACTCATACACGAAGAATGCGTAATCGCATATTGATGCTGCGATTTAAGTACTAACTAAAAGAAAGCAGAAATAAATCTCCACCGCACCTGAGCTTCAGAAGGAGGAATTGTTTTTTGTCCTACAGCTTGTGCAAGGTGGGCTAAAGTTCCCGGAACAAGTGCCGCAAATATGGTCACGCTCACTACTTCAGGGCTTGCCAGACCCTGCCACGCTAAACCACCATCTCTTCCTGCACCGAAGACCATATCACATCCACGACAACCTCATAAAGTGTTAATACTTTCCAAGTATCAAGTCAGAACTCCACTTTAAAACTCAAAAATCCAAATAAATCCAGAGAAGCTCAGAGAAAGTAGTGGTTCCATGCCTTCTAGTGTAACCGTTACGTAATCGTAGCCCGCCCATACAAAACTGAACGCGGTGGAGACAACCATGACGCGGGTAGAGAGCTCCAGCGCTGACGTCTTCTTCGCATGAACACCCAGCCTGATGGTGTTAATGGCGAAGAAAAACGCAGCCGCAAGAACCTGGAGGTCTCCAATAAGAGCGGATTGGCATCCTACTGACCCCTCACTGCGTCAATACGCGTAATTAATAACATTTCACCAGATATTTATCGCAAAACTAGACTTCGTATAACAAAATGGATGACACTCTCATCGCAACGAAGATGCGCGGATTCCAGGTTACCTTCTTACCATTGGACAAGCAGCGTCTACTTGAGGCCACATATCATTTTAATTTTGTGACGTACAACAGAACACTTGGCGATCATGAAAGTTTAACAAAAGCCCAAGAAGGACACCTGCACAAAAGGCTGGAGATGCTCCCACTGGTGGCACCTTCGTTTCCAAACACACTCATGAGTACGACTCCCGTCAAGGCAAGAATGGCAGAGCCCCACGTGGTCTTACTCACATGACTTCCGCTCACAGCGGAAATCAAAGGAACTAAAACAGTGATGATTTGTAAGATGAATCCTGCCCTGATTGCGGTGGTGCTTCCCAATGCGCTCGTCTGGGAGCGAGAGAGTGGCACCAACCACACGTTTCGTAACATGTTAGTACATTCCAAATAAATCAATGTATTCCCACGGTCTACACAGAGCTGAGCTACTGTAACGGGACGGGTTATATAATCGTCCAGACAAACCTGAAGAGCTGTACCGAGAAAAGTCCAGAATCCTAATTCGGCTGCAGCACTCCAACTGCTGCCGCTTATTGCTTCGTTCACCGACGTCGCAGCTCCATAGTAATTCTCATCATTTGACTTTGCTGATTTCTCAAGAGGTTGGAGGAGAAGGAAAAATCCTACCGATGCAACTGAAGGTCGTAGAAAGAAATTCCGGGTGTCAGGAAAAATTAGGTCATCGAGTTCAAGAAAAGTCTGGGTTGTAAACTTCCTGATTGTCCGCTGGTTTGCACAAACCGACTTAAGCAGAAATTCGGAACGTATAACTCTCAGAGCGGTCGAAGGCGAATGCGAGCTGGAAACTACAGCAGCTTGCCAAATTATAAGCTCTCTCCAATAAAATCGAATCAATAGCCCCCCAAAAAAAGGCATTGGCAGAAGCATACAGTTCACATGTACCTTTGCGAGACAAGGTGATGATGCTCGCCGAAGGCGCCAGGGGCTGTGAGTAGATGAAGCGTAGAGCGGGACCGTAAGTGCCCCACAAAAACGGGACCAACAACAAGTATAGTCTAGCTTTCTGACATGTGCTAAACCAATTCTCTTCTCCAGCTTCTTGTTTACTTTCCCTATCTCTGTCTGCCTCTCCTACCACGCCCCCCTGTTCCGATTCCACAATTACTTCATCGCTCATCGTTACACTAGATACCACATTACTATCTACATCGCCACGCTTCACCGCGCAAGAAATCCATAGCAACCTAGGGTAGCCAAAGCCAGGCCTCAGTCTACTGTCATTACAAGTCCCGCTTTTCAAAGATCTTTCGCTCCTTTTATAATTGATGCATCTTCGCCTCAATTCAAGAGCCGATACAATGACACACCCGCGAGATTCCTCTGCGTGGAACTGAGAGCTCGAAAGTGACGTCGACACTTCTGGAGCTGGACTGTGAGGCTTCGCAAGCACAATTAAGCCCCTGCACGCATGCATGTTGATGATTCAACAATAATTATTATCAGATTATCGGACGACGACAATTCAGAGGTCGTGCACGCTCACAACTAGGATAGAATCTTTGTCGATTTCAGAAGCAGCAACACCGGAACGCGGGAGTGATAGCAACGGGAGGTGTAATTATGGATATCAGGTGCTTCCACAAACGCAGGCACGAGCACCTAACTTGGATCAGTAACAAACAGAAACGAGGAAAGAATATGAGTGGCCTTCTGGTGACCAATATTCGAGGCATCCAAAAATCCACGTAATCGTCAAACCCTCACGAGGCATTTCTTAATCAAAATCTGCGCAACAAAGAATGTGCTGAGAGAAGCCCTGGAGGACAGAATCCCGCTGAGAGGGCGAGTAAAGCGTGCACAAGTGGCATCGATGCCGACTTCATTAAAGGAGTGGCTAAGAGGCAATAACGACGGAGCAAGCGTCTCCTCCTCCTCCTCCTCCTCCAGGTGCGTTCCAACGGAGTGACCCTCTATGTCTGTGCATCGCAGAAATGTTTACACGGCCAAGCTCTCGCACAAGCTTCCACTGACGACGCCATTCCCTGGACTGAGAACGACAGAGAGATAGAGCAAGACAGAGACAACGGGGTCGGCGATAACGCAGAGCCCACGTTACAGTTCGCTGAGTGGAGCGGGCCTGGACGATGATGCAGGGATTCGATCTCTCGTCTACTAGGGGACCCAATCCCGCTGGACGAAAATATGTACACGGGAATCGTTCACATTTCTACTACAATGCTGACAGTCAGAAGAATGTAATGAGGTTAGTGACAAGAGTGTACTACTCTTTACTTGAAAATTCAAGTGTCAAAAATATTTGACGTGTTTGTTTTATTTTAATAGATATTACCTCTAATGTTTAATTTGTTGCCATCATCTTCTTTGCCTTTGACAACCTCTAGATTCCTTATCTTTCACCCAATATGTTTGATCTTCTCTCCACCTAGTAGCTTGTACTTCATTGGTACTCTATAATTATACATTTAAACTATAATATATATTGGACCTTATTTCACTCAACTTTTCTACTTTAAAATATATTTGTAACATAATGATATCCCAAGTTGTACAATATTATAGATTCCAAGTTGTATATCATTATGTCATGTACTCAACTTGGCATGGATTTATCTATTCAACACCTAAATAACCATGTAGACCAAAGTGTTTATTTTCATATCTATAGAATCTCAAAATAAATCATAATTTGAAAGTAAATATGATAATATTTGTTATATTGGTAATTTTCAAATTATTAACTATCTTCTCTCTTTACAATTATTAAAATGTAAGTTTATTCTATGTGGGCAAGTAAAACTACCAAGTCTAAGTATATATTTATTGAATTATAGTACTTTAAACTCTATAAATGAATCCTAAAAAAAATAAATGTCTGAATTAGTCTTTAAATTAGCATTATAATTTGAATTTTTTGTATTTATACTAGGATTATTGAAAGTTGTTGGTATAAAAACTATAGCTATAATTTCAAAGAAAAATAAATTATGTACAAATAAATAAATAAAATGAATATCTATCACTTGAAATTTTGCCAAATACTATCAAAAAGTAATATATGATTTTTTTGAAATTTGAGAGAATTAGACTAGATTATAAATGGCAGTAAGTTAAGGGTGTTAGGTTTCAAAGATAAAAGTTTAAAGCCTTGGATTTTGGATATAGGAGTTTTTTGATTTAGAGTTTGGAGTTTTAGAATATAGGATTAAATTTTATAAATATAGAATTTAGAATTTAATTTTTTGAATAACATAGCTTTTCTAATATTATAAATTTTTTATTTTGTGATTTTGACTTGATCTATGTTTTTATTTTTAATATCTATAATTTCAATGGTATAAAAAAGTTGCTCTACAAGTTTTTAGTTTGCAAGATATAACAACTTTGATTTAGGCTTTTGGGTTTTAACTTTTGTTATAGAAGATTTTTGTGAAATACATTTGATATTGTTAATTTCAAATATGTCTTTTAATTGTTCTAATAGTATATAAATTTTTAATTATTAAGGATAAGACCATTTTCTGTTTTGAGTTGACTTTGTAAATGAGTGGGATTTTGTAAGTTTTGATTTGACTTATTATCCTATTTTTAGATACTACAAATCTAATTGTGGAGTTAGAATGTCCTACAAAATTTAAAATTTTTAAATATAAGACTTAAGACTTGATATTTGTTTATATTGAATTTTATTTTTGTTTTGTCTTTTTGAAATATTGAGTTCACATTCTTTTATATTTTTAACACTTTTGATCTTAATGAAATGTTTAAAATGTTTAATAAGTCTAAAGTTTAGAAAATATGAGGTTTTCAACATTACAAAAATAATCTTTTTTGCATTATGTGGAAAAAAAAAAGAAATTTTGAAAAAATATTTAGACTTATTTATACTATAAAAATAAATTATATAACTTATATAATTATATTTCATCTTGTTGGTTGCAAAATACATACCAAAATTTTAAAAACTATTTAAAATTTTGATTTTTTAGGATTTAGAATCACTTAGATATCTCCAATTTTTTGATTTCATTATTGTTTGATTTGACTTTACCTACCTTTTTTCTCTTCCAATTTTTGAGTGTCAAAATTCTAATGATATAGATAACTTGTTCTATTAATTTTAAATTTGCAAGATATAACAACTTTGATTTAGATTTTAGGATTTTGATTCTTGTTATGAAAAGATTTTTGAGATTTAAAAATATATATATTAGTTACATTTAGAGATTTCCTATTACAAATATGTCTTTAAATTATTTTAAAAATGTGTAGATATATAGATATTGAAAACTTGACAATTTTAAAATTTGAATTGATTTATCAAATGAATTTAGAATTTAGGATTTTAAGATTTAGGATTTAGGATTTAGAGCTCTTTGGATGTGTCTAATTTTTTAACCTCATCATTTTTTAATTTTAACTTGACTTATTCTTCCATTTTTAGAATCTATAATCTATGTATCCTAATTAATTCTCTCTACAAGATATTAATTTATAAATATATCAAATTCAACTTGTGTTTTAAGATTTCGACTTTAGGTATATAAAAGTTTTAAATTTTTTGCAAACACCATTGTGTATATTTGGAAATTTTCAAATATCAATATTTATCCAATTTTTTCTAAAAACACATAATTTTATAGATATTGATGATTTGACCATTTTGATTTTTGGATTGATTTTGCAAATTGTTTTTACAAACATAGATATTTACTTAGATTAAAGGAGTTAAATAGAAGTAAGTAGAAGTAAGTAGAAGTAAGTCACCAAGTTAGACATGATGTCATATTATGTATTGCTAGTTACACATGTTCTGCAAATTAGATATAATATTGTATTATGTATTGTTTTACTTGAAATTATACCAAACAATTGGTTGTAGAAGGTAAACTAGAATTTTGCAACAACAAAGAATCTAATAATCCTAATAGAATCCTAAATAAACCATAATTGAATCTTAAAAATATTAATTAAAATTTAATCAAATTAAATAAACCTTTAATTTATTTCTATAAATCATAAATAAACCTTAAAAGAATATTAAGATTTAAAAAAATCATTTATTTTTTATTTATTTCTAGAAATCATAAATAAATCTTAAAAGAATATTAAAAGAAGTGTCTAGAAGAAAAATTAAATAAATCTTTAAAAAATTAATTAATTCTAAAAAAACCTTAACTAAACTATAAATAAATTTTAATAAAATCCTAATCAAATCATAATCAAATCCAAATGAAATCCTGAGAAAATTTTATAAATTTTAATAAAACCTTATATAGTACCAAATAAATTCTAACAAAACTTAAAATAAATTCTAAAAAATCTTAAAGAGGTCTTAAGCAATCACAAAAAAATCCTGACCAAATCCTATAACAAATTCAAAATCTCCATAACTAATAATATAACCATTCATCTTTATTCAAAATTTGTATACTTTTGAATTTTTTGATTGAAAAAAAGTATAAAAAATTTAAAGAGGATTAATCTTACTAAATAAAAAAATATATAATCTACTTATAAACCTCATAATCCACTCAAAATCTTATAATCAAATAATTTTACCAAATAGAGAAAAAAAAAAAAAAAAAAAAAAAAAAACCTCATAATCTACTCATAAACCTCCTTTTTCAATCTTAATTCCAATATCTCAACACCAATATCTCTTCTTTTTATTATCCAATTTCTTTCAAATTTTGCATGATTATATGAAATCAAGTTTAATAATAGTGTATTAAATATCACCTCAATTCAATGAGTGGATTGTTGCAAATCTTAGATAATCATATTAGCCTTCTAAAATCCAATTTTTGAAACTCCAATCTATTTAAATTTTAAAAAACCTTTTATGTAAGTGTTTAAAATTTTGACCTTTTTTATTTCAATTAAATTAGAGTCTTTTCAAAACAATCCTCACTTTGCAAAGCTCTTACAAAACCATTACAAGCTCTTGTCACTTCAAACCAATGCTTGAAATATCTCTTTAGTTTTTTCTGAAATTCCACTCTTTGATCAACAAAAGAGCCTTAGAATTGTTATAGGTGCATGGATTTGAGCATCAAGATCTTATTTACAACCAATCTTCACCAAGTATTAATTTCTAACTTTTAAAGGAAATTTTGTTTGATTAATTATTAACTTCTATTTTAAGATATTTCTGTTTTATTTTTATTTTTTTGATCTAATTTATTTTGTTGTAAATATGGCCCTTGAAAGTAAGTAGAAGCCTTTTATATGATAAATAATATCAATTATATTTCTATTTATTATCCATATTTATTTAATATATAATATATAATTTCATATTTTACTTTATAAAAATTATGTGTTATATATTAATAAAAAATATTTTAATGTATTAAAAGTTTTTTTTATTTATAACATTAAAAGTTTTAAAGGTATTGCTTCCAATTGTATTTGGATACTGCTTCAAAACTACACTTCTTATATCACAACAACATTTTAAATCCAAAAGTAATTCTCTAAAAGTCTCTTTGTTATTCAATTAGAAGATAGCTTCTTTACATCAATTTTTTTTTCTACAATTTTCTACTAGAGAATAAGATCTATTTATAATAAAAAAATAACTCACTCAATAAAAATCCTAACTCCAATCTAAACAAAATACCTTGCATATTTTGGTACAAGTCATTAAGTAGTCAGAAATCTTTGTAATATGCACAAATTAGCACATTGGTTTCTATTCAACAAATTACTTTTCTTCAATAAATCCTCAAATGTTCTAATATAGACTTCAGTTCTTTTCCAAGTATCTAAACAAAATACCTTGCATATTTGATATTTTGTCTTATTATTCTATGGTGCTCGAAGATCTCAATATAACAAAATCATATAAATAGCTCCAAACTATGAATATATATCGCTTGAATAATTCCAAAAGATATTCCATAATAGATTAAAAAAACTAATTTCCAATTTCATCTTCTCACTTCTCACCCACATGTAGAAAATTACACATTAGATTTATTTGCTATTTCAAAAATATTTATCAAACACTCTTTTTTCTACATTGTCCCACAAACCATACAATTTTCCATCTTAAAAATTGAATCTATAATTCTAAAACTAAACCATTAATCTTAAATAATCCTCAAACCAACACTTAATTTCTTTACATATTTTAATAACTTCACTTCAATCTACAACTTTGATACAAAAATTACTCATCCTAAATTATTATCCAAAAACATTAAATGACTTCTACAAACCACCACAATGTCAAGAGATTGCAATTCCCCCTCCTTGATTACGTCAAATCATAATCGGCCCCTACACCACCCACATGCGCAAGCTAGGGTTCAAAGTCTCCCAGAGACTGCTCACAAAATAGCCAGCAAAAGAGTACCACTAAAAAGGTTTTCAATATGTACCCACACATGGAGAAGCACCACCAGGTTCTCAGACGTGGAGGTACTCAATTGCAACACGCTGTGATTGTGAGTTTACTACACGCTTCTTCCTATTCGAGATAGGAACAAAAGACCTGAAACCATCAATCAAATTATCAGAAGCTACACAACTCACAACAACTCAGTGTTTACGAATGACAGATACTTCACTTAACGCCAGTGCCTGAATTTCTAATCTTAGTAGCAAAGTTCCTGGTGAGCAATTCATGATTTGTAAGGGCAATAAGTACTAAGATGAAGACAATTAGGGACAAAATTATAAAGTGGCATCACAGCTTTGAAGGCTGTAGAAATATGGCAATTTTTTAGGTGGCGCCACTCGAAGCCCCCCAGAACTAGGAGAAACTCTCATTTCATGCTCAACATTTTGAGTTGTGTATCAGCACTCAGACAAACAGATTCCTCAGTATACCTCAAGCACTATAAGAAGAAATGAAAAGAAAAGATTGCACTTCAGACGTCAGAAAACGGATGCATTGCCTGTGAAGATGCAGGCACACTACCAATCTCCTCACAAGCTTAACATTTTACATGTAATATCACACTTCAATGAGCTCCGAAAGAAAACCCCCAACTATGGCGCTTCTAGGAATGAGTGTAAGCAACATAAGTAGTTGGCCGCTAGCCTCTAAGCCTTGCACAATTCGTTGCTTCATCGTAACCATACGCCCAAATGCAAGCGAGCTTTTTCCACGATTTAAAATAACAGCAAAATCTGATTTAACGACTACATTTGGTTGCCACACAGATGCGTAAAGTGCGGCCATGTGACCAGGGAAATCAAGCTGTTTCCACAGAATTCATGCAGACGCGAATTCAAACGACTTGAACAAGAAGAACAGACTGAACAGCTGCCTTTACTGTAAACACGCCGAACCAAAGCCTGCAAAACTTGCACGGTCGAACTCACCAGAGAAGTGGTTGATAAACCAGACACTCGCCAAAACATTTTCCTTTTTTCAGAGCCTTCAATCTCGATTCGATTCTTCCTTTCCTTGATGTCACTAACGTATCAGGAGGTCCCAGCGCGCTGAAGGTATGCCAAGTGGCAGATGCTCTGGTTAACAGACGTATGGGATAAACTAGAATGAAATCCATATTAAAATTGAGAGAGGGTAAGAGAAAACAACAGTTTCAGTACACACGATATCGGTGGCCATCTTTTCTCAGCCACACCAACTGGTATCTGTGGTCAAAACTTGGAGTTCCGATGTTCCCAGCATTCGCTCTGAATGCTTTGTAACCATTACATTGAAAACTGCTCGACAAGTGCATATGTTCTGTTTTCCCTACAAGGATTGACCGCTGCAAGTCCTTACGCCTCTCAGACTCCTTCATTAAACTTCGCCCCATCCCACTCTCACTGCCCCTTCAAGACTGCTGTGGAACCCATCATTACTACTGCCAGCCTTCCACCTTATCACCACCTCGGTAACATTTGTTTCGTCATTCGTGTGTATCTATTCACCTCTCACATCGGAGGTGACGCATTGCTTTCCCACCTCTACCCTCATATCCTCATCGCTCCGAACATCTACCGCCCACACAGTCATCAATCAGACTCACTATCAGAGGTGGTCACACAGGATGTCTCGCTCTCAATGCTGCCCACTTGGACATCCATTCGCCCCTTGAGACCCAATCGCCTGTGGTTATGGTTTTGCTGGTGATTCCGGCTGCGCTTTTGTGCGCTTGGCAAAGATGTCAGTTCATTGCGCTGCATTCACAGCATCAAACCCCATATCAGATACATATGCATCACCGAAAACCATCCAGTAAACCCAAGTCTAACAAGCCAACGACCTATACTTCACAAGCAAGGAGAGTATGTACCTTCTGAATGAAAGCATCAATCTCATCTTGAGTCAATGCGTCTGTTTCTTCTGCATCCGCTTGACTCCATCCAAGCGAAATCAGAAATGACATTTCCTCGTCCTCCGAGGGTCCTTCCCCTAATGCCAATTTCTGCTCCAGAGATCCAACAGCCTCCCTTAAAACCTGGTCCTCATGGGCACCCTCCGTCATGCCCTCCCTTAACTCACAATTCTCTTCACCCATCGCACCAAAAACCCCAGCGTCAGAGGCAGCTACTTCGCCATCCACGGTAGTATCCATCTCTCGTCGGTCTATTTTATCCAACGAGTACGATTGAACTACGGAATGTTCACTAACGTCCTCCAAAAGCTGCACACTATCGTTTACAAGAACATCGCTTTTCGGCGCTACAACATCCATTTTATCTACAATATTCGGTGGACCATCCAACCCCGCTTTCCTTCGAAGAGCATTGAAAAAGTCGAGACGATTTTGTGTTGGCACGGAAGGCCGACGTTCATCGCCTCCAAATAAATCTCCATCCTTCGAGCGTGTTCCCGCACTATTCCCGTCAGAATTCACAACAATTGAAACTGGTGGAATCGGAACAGCGCGCCGATCCAGAAGTTGCTTCTGCTTCCGGGATGCACTGTTCAAAACCCCAACTACACTTGGTGAGCTTCCTCCACCCATTCCGGGGAGACCCAAACCCGTCGCTACCAGTGGTGAAGCTTCCGCTTTCATTACTGTATTCACTGGGGAAGGAGATGACACAGGAACCACCTCTTTGATAGGAACCTTTCTGGTTAAAAACTTGCCCGTTCCTTGCCCCAATTTTAGAGCCTCGGGACGAGATGCTGGTGGCCGATAAGGCGAGCTTAAAACCTGCTGGGAGGAGCCCATCGCTTGCCTCGGCTTCAGAGCGTTCGGAGGAGCTGTTACATGCACTGTCCGCTCCACCTTCTTATCACGCGGGGAAGGGCCCTACAAACATATACACTGCTGACATAAACAAAACTCCCCTTAAAATAAAACGCTAATAGTTCAAAGTCAACAACCCGCTCAATGGACGATCAAAACATTCATATATCATCAAGCCGGAAACATTAGAATTGAAATATCCACCAGAATCTTCGGAACCATTGGAATCAACTGCCGAGACTGCTGCAGTGCACGCTCCTCCAGCCGCTCTTTCTCGGCCGAATACTGCAATTTTTACAACATAAATTGCTCAGTCACAATTTGAACTCTATTGCTTGTTCCAAGATATCTGTCAAAAAATACCCTGTATGAACCAAAACCTAGCCCACTGTGTAGCCAAACCTTCTAAATCTCCCCATTCAACACAAGATACTCAAAACTTTAAAAAAATTATTGATCAATAGTTTCCTCAAGTGTGCAACACCTAGTTTTTATGTAAATGATTTGTCCAGAACGTCTTGTACCTTTCTTTGAACAGCACGCGACACTCACGCATCAACGCTTAGAATGGGGGACACATGCAACCACAGCGGCGCACAAATCATAACGTACCTGTGGAGGGGTGCGCACGCGTGGAGGGACATAGACCAACGCCTCTGCCATCTTAGGAGGATTCGTCATGTTGCCGGTCACTGAAATACTTGCCAGAGCTGATGTCAGTGAAGTGATTGCAGTGCCAGAAGAGCTCAAAGGACCAATCAGTGTGCCATTCACAGCGGAAGGAACCTCGGCTAATGCGGAGCTCCACCCTTCTCCATTGCTGCCTCCTGTCGTCGTAGACACCAAGCCGCTACCAGGGCCAGCACCAGTAGGCAGACCAGGTGAAGAAGCTGCTGATCGTATTTCATCCATCCTCGGTGTGGAGGACCCTTGCCACAGATGTCGTGGACTCGAAATCACCAAATTCCCCAGGCTCGCCTGTGTACCGCTCACACCACCGCCCTTCTCTTGAGCACCAAGAGAAGGGAAATTACGCTCAAACGCTGCTTTCTGCATGCTGCTAGTCAGGCTACCGCTATTCGAGGGAGGGGCTGTTGGAAGGTTCCCTGACTCCGGAATTTTCTTCTCTCCATTCTCAAGTGCTCGAGCTGCCGACCCCATCGACTGAACTCGTCGAAGTGGTGCAGATAAATCTGCTTCATATGGGCTTCCTGGCAATTGACCTAATCCGGGCCTCCGAAGTGAAGACAAACTGTCGAACTGTTCGGCCCGCTCTCTTTCTCTCTCATCAGATCCTCCGAACTCTCCCAAAGCCCTGCTCCTGTCTTGGTCCCAATCCCAGTCCCGTTCCCTACCTGAATCCCTATCACTCCGATCCAAACCTCCATCATAACTGCGATAGGTGCTACTGCGACCAAAATTGGTGTACCAGCGCGGGGAATTTTCCCTCTCTTGTTTTGAGCGGTCACTGATGCCACTTCCTCCCCCTGGTCCCCGATTAACTGCTGAATAATGCGCACGGTCGGAGGACGAAGAAAGCGGAAAACGTGGAGCATCGTACTCAGCATCCCTGCCTCCACTTAATAACCCGGGTGAAGCAGCACGAGTCCGCAGCGCAAAGCCTCCTCCACTCTCCTCTGAATAACGACACACTTCTAGATTAGTGTCACGAAGCACCAATATATGTCAGGGATGTCCGTATCCACCAAACTCGACCGGCAACAGCCCTGTAACATACCGAAATAACCGTGACAAACCCGAACCACGCGCAGTACAGAACTACCACTCTCACTAATTACTTAGACTTTGCCTAAGCGACTACGCTCGCCTGTCGTGATTATGCGCAGAAAACACTGGGTGTAGGCCGTCAACCGTAATTGAGCATTGACGGGAAGCTAGTGCTTAGTCCGGTGGCGTGCCAATGTCACAACATATAGCCAACCCCCTCTTCTTTGCACCTGCAATACAAACATGGAATCTCACCCAATCCATTCACAAGTCGCTAAACATACTCACAATCTCCAGCAATGCTAAGATTCGTTAACTTCTGTCCCGAAACCTAGCTTATTCGTACGAACCAGAGATCCCTAGACCTGAACAGACCCCTTGCTTCATCAAAAACACTTTTTTTATTATTTTGCGCCACGGGACAAAACGTTTTCACATTAAAAGGACGAAATCTAACCGACATGCAGCAAATATCCTTCGCCCCGACTGCTTCATGTGCAATGTGTCACGGTGTAGCAATGTCACAAAACAGAGGGAATAGAGATAAAAGTTCAAAAGTACCTTGATGGTTAGACGATGCCTGCAAATAGTGGCTTGCGGCGCCTATCCCACCACTGCTGGCCCCTTTGAGCCATTGCGGAACCAAGGATGGCTCACTTCTCTCCATCCCTACCACAGACCATGATAGGTCTGCCGGCAGGAGCCCTACCGTCACTTCCTGGATACTACTACCAATCTAACCAACACAAACCCTCTCTCTCACATTAAGACACCATAGAGGTCAGTCGTTTCACACAAGCACTACCCTAATAGAATCCATAGTGCCCCCTTTCCCTATCCCTCTTTCTACCTCACAAACAACAATGCGAGGCTTATTTACATCAGTGCCGCAATCCCTGAAAACCTTCAAACTCCAGCGTTCACCTCCATCCATCACCTTTCAGTAGCCGACGAAACCGTAGCACCCATGTAGAATCACTTGAGTATCGCATTACCATAAATCCCAACACTCCATGACGATTTTTCTTCCAAGACGTGATTCAATGCTGCTAACAGTGAAATAATTCGCAAATCTTTCAATGTTCATGAGATCCTTCGCAAAGATCTTCCAAATCACACCGTAATTCCCACTCAAAAAGTCGGCGAAGCCCCAGCTGAATGTCAAGTCCACAATCCTGTATGGTTCACTGTAACCCCTAGAGACCCTGATTTCCACTTCGACAATCCTATATATGCACCCAAGGTTGGCGTACGGCAAATGCAAGTGACTCTCACAATAATGATCTTGCTCCCATCTAAAACCTGGTCAGCAGAAAAGTTGAAACCTCTCGGTAGCAAACGCAGAGAAAACGTGGCAACGCAAGTCTATTCACTCCGACTTCATTCATTCTGTGCTGAGTGTCTGAATATAACCAACTCTCATCATGCACGTCCGAATATGAATACACACGCCAAATGCCTCCACCCTCATTCCACGACACAAATCTTCCCCTCCCTGAATTTCTGCATATGCTTGATGGTTTTCAGGGTTTAAAACAAGAAGCTGGAAATCACTCCTGCCACCATGCAAAGTCTGTCACGCCTGCTGCTACCACTTTCTGCAAACCCGAAATCTTCTACGCGAGAAGTTCATCGAGCGGCATCGGACTTATCACCCACACCAGGATCCCGACCACCAAAATCTGTCCAATGTCCTAATTCACCAAGCCTACATCCCGCGTAGCGACTTCCTTTCCCATCGTCGTCGTTTCTTTTGTCTTGTGAACCAATACCCCACAAACACATGCCACACACAATGACCCCATTATCTTCCACCGGATACTGTCGAAGGATTCACCCTCAAGTCTTCGCAAATAAAATCACCGGTAAGACTCGCGCTCCACATCCAACACCCCTTGCAACCACCAACCCAACCCGCAAGGGGAATGCCCTGGACCATGAATCTCACCCGCCTTCCACTCCGTCCGCTCCAGAAACCACCAAAACCCGGGGCACACAGACCTCCCTCCGGAACTCCGCCACGAAAAGTCCACGACTCTCACTCTCTCTTTCACTCTCTCTCCTCCTTCCCTCTCTGCCTCCGTCTCCAATATCACCCAGGAATTTCCGACACTGAGCTCTCCCTCGCTTCGCCTCGCTTGTGTCTTCCAATACACACACTTCCAGAAGAAAAAGAAAAAAAGAAAAAAGAAAAAAGAAAATCCTTAGACACACAACCCTAGACTCAGAAATGACGAAGGAACATAGCCTTAACAACCCCGCACAGCACGGCTCTCCATCTCCTCAGGGCTTCTCGACGACGAAAAAAGAAAAAAGAAAAAAAGAAAAAAAAAAAAAAAAAAAAAAAAAGCTACACGAAGAAATGGTTTTCTTGAGGAAGCGCGGCAGGGAGAAGCAAGAAGGACCAGCAGCAATCCGGCGAGCAAGAGAGCAAGAGCGCAATGTAGAACAGAATAGGGAGGAAGAATAAGACGAGGGGAGGAAGCGGGAGGCAAAAGGCAGAAACAGATATGGGGGTCAAGACAAACATAAAGCCCCAAACGAATTGGTGGCAAAGCACAAACAACAAAGAGCTCGCCCTCTCCTCGCATTGGAATGAATGTTGATGGACGAATGAAAGTGGATGGACGTATCATATTGTTTATCATTCGTTCATACCCTCTTTCTTATTCTTCGAGAATATTCTATAGTGGGCTCTGTCCAACCCACCTCGACGTCCCGGCACTTCCGCGGGGGGATGAGGTTTTCAAAAACCGAATGAACACTATGTCTCTGATGGGAGTCTTGGCCCTTTATCATACATGGATGAATGATTAATGTCTTCACGTGCTTACATTGGTTCTCATGTTGTGCATTGGTCCAAGGTTAAGGGGAAGGGTGTGGTTGTGGATGGAATTAAAAAATAAAATAATATAAAATAAAACATTCGAGACCTCTTTTGGTGTTTGGTCGTGTGCATTCTTCTCTTAACAAATTCATTCAATACAAGCTTTTATTTATTCATTTATTTATTTTTCCTCTTTTTTCTTTGGAGGTTAAGAATGACTTGAGGTTATTAAGAATGTTTATTAATAATTAAATTCCAATTACTCAAAAAAAATTATATATATATATACAACTCATGAGATCTTTTGAGTATTTTATTAAAATCCATGAAAAAATAATCTTTCATATCTTTAGAAATTTGATTATTTGATAACCTTCTAACACATATTAAAATAATTAGAATCTTTGCTGAAGGAACATGAATAAATTTTTCCATTCAAATTTTCTTGAAAAAAACACTTTTAAAAATAGGAGCAATAAGACCTAATTTAGATTCAAGTAAATTTCTAAAGAATTTTGCAATAAAATTTATAAAATAAATAAACATATATATATATATATTTTTTATTTATATTTTTAATAGAAAAGGAAAAAATTATAATTCTAAACTTCATTACAAGTATATAATTATCTTAATTAAAAATAAAATTCTACTTTATATTGTTTTATATTTATTGGATATTATTTTTGACAAAATTTCATAAAGTATTATAGTAAAGTTTTTATCTAATAAAAATTAAAGCGTAAAATAAATTTTACAAATAGAACTCTAAGACTATTTATAAAAAAAAATTGATTTATTATAAAAATACAAAATAAATGCTAGTTTTTATAATTTTAATAGAGATGACCAATTTCATATTTTCATCAAATCAATCTAATTCAATTTTTAAATTTATAAAATATTAATAAAAATATATAATAATTAAATTTAAAAGGTTTGTAATAATTTTTGTTAAATTAGGTAACCAATTTTGATTTAAAAGATGTAATAATAGAAGAAGTTTATATGATTGAAGATGTAGAATTTTTGTTCAAATTTTGATTATATAAGATTTTTGTAATTAATATCTGAATCCACCAAAAATATATAAAAAATATTCTTTATTTTTATATTTAAATTATTGTGGTGATAATAAATTGAGTTTTTTAAATAAAAATTGTAATTTAAAAAAAATATATAGAATATAGAATACAATACAAAAAGTCAAACATATACTTGTAGAAATTACAAATGGATAACTTTCATCTTTAAAAGATATCACTTATAAAACCATACAAGTAGAAGTAACTATGTAAGATTATAAGTGTTTATTTATATTTAATACTATGAAGTATCCAACTAAACTTATTAAATTAGCATTATCGGGGTAAGAAAAATATAATACTCACATAGAATATATATGTTGTAGTCTTAAATTATTTTTTAATTTATTTAAGAAAAAATAAAATAAAAAATTATAGTTTTTGTCTACAAATGTCAAATCTTTATTTGTATAATCCAAAACATTTATGCACATATAAAAGAAAAAAAATATTTTTTATTTATGCAACATTAAAGACTATTCAAGTAGAGGTTGTAATAGAATCTTAGATCACTATAAGGATTATGAAGATGTATTTAAAAAAACCTATACTTGATATCTTATCAAAACTTCAATCTTATTATTGCGCCATTGACTTGTAAAAAAGAACTCAATCTACTTTTAGACCAATTTACTACCTATAGCAAAATAAATTTCTTATTTTGAAATATAACATTGAAAAAATCTTATAAAGAAATTTATTTAACATTCGAATTCTCTACAAGTGCTCCAATCCTTTTTGTTCAAAAAAGAGATGAAATCTTGAAAAAATTTGTGGATTTTTATAGATTCAATAAATTGACCATCAAGAATTTTCATTCTTTGTTTTTAAAATCAAGAATTTTTTATCATTTGGATAAAGCTAATATCTATAGGATAATTTATCTAGAATGAGTCTAAAATTTATATGTATCATAAAAGATGATGAATGAAAGATTGCATTTTAAATTACATATGAAAAATTTGAATGTAATATTATATCTATTAGACATAAATTTAATAACCAATAACCTTTTTAAAATTTTAGTTAATTTTTTTTATTTTATTTAAAAAATATTCTTATTTATTTGAAGATTTTGAAAAGATAAAAAATACTATTTTTATAATAAAAAAATATAGATGTATATGACTCTATGCAAATATAGAAAAAAATATATTTTACACAACTCAAGTAATGTATTTGGAATATATTATCTCATTTTTTGGTTTATAAATAGATTATAAAAATTTATATAATATCATAAATTGGAATTTTTTAGAAATAATATGTGATGTTCAATACTTTTTGAAATTTGTAAACTATCATTGAATATTTATCTAAGGCTTATCTATAGTTTTTATTCTATTTACAAAATTAATGCAAAAAGATAAATTAAAATAAAATCAAGTTGTAATAGCAATATTTTAAGATTTAAAAGTATCTTTTATCTTAATTTTCATTTTTTATTGACTTGATTTTTCTAAAGCACTTTTCATAAAAGCAAATACACCAGATTTTGCATTAGGTGTAGTTTTATTACAAATATATGTAAATGATAAACTCTATCTTATTGCCTATTGTTAAAAAAAAAATCTCAATATTCAAGATTAATTTTGAGATTTGTAATAAATAATGTCTTGCTATTGAAGATTTATTTTAAGATTGATGTCACTATTTAGAAGGCACTTATTATTTAATCTCAATTCAAATTGTTCAAAAGAATATTGAATATTTCATGTCAATACATGTCTTAAATTTTTACTTAGTTGACTTAAGCATGTATTTTTCATAATTTATGTTTAATATTACATAATGGCTTAAAAACCAATAATGCTTATCTAATGCCTAATTTAGATATTCTTATCTTACAAAAAAAAGATATTATGTATGATTAACATATGACTATTCTTACAAAAATAAGAAGAGGTACATCTCTAAGGTATTAAATGAATAATCCTAATTTGTTTTAATTTTCTAGATATAATTTGTTGAAATACATTAACAAATCTCTTTATTCTTAAAATTGGAAATAATCTTCATTATAAATTTTACAATTTAGAATATAAGATCAATCTTTTTTATTATGAAGGACATTTCTATCTTATATTTGATAGTTTAAAATAGATTTTTAGATTTTCAGAAAAATATGTAAATACCAAAAATTTCTCAATAATTTTATTGTAAAAATTATTTTAAGAATTAATAAAATTTTAATATATTTATTTATTATAAAATATTTCAAACTTAATAGTTTATTAATAAAAATAGAAGTTAGTTTTATTGAAATTTAATTAGATTAGAGAAACTTAAATAATTAAAAAATTAAAAATCTATAAATGGAATTATTATTGCCATTACTATTCATACGATTTTAATATCACTTAAATATGTTATTTTTTATCACAATGATATTAAATAAAAAATTAAATTTCTAATTTTAAAACATTCTAGTAGTATATATATTTTTTCTTTAAGTCAAATTTCTACTTAAGCATAGGAACTAAAATATAATTTATTAAAGCTAATAAATTAAGATTATAAAATATAAATACAATCTTTTTTATTACAAGTCTTTATTTTGAAACCATAGATGTATGTAGTACATTATAAAAAATGTATGATAATATTTTATATAAATTTATATACTTATCAAAATTAAATTTGAATTTAATCATTATAACATTATTTATAAGTTTTAATGTCTTTATTATAAATGATTTACAATTACTTAGTTTTAGAGTATACTTTATAACAAAATATGTAATGAAGATGTATTTTATTTGATGATTTTTTTTAAAAAAAATTAAAAGAATAAATTGGTAAGGATATAATTAAAGAATATAAATATTAGAAAAATGTGTAATCTATTATTATTTAATTAATTATTGTAATTTTACATCAAAAATTTAGAAGAAGATGGATATAAAACACAACAAAAGATAAATAACAAATATATATATATATATATATATATATATATATATAATAAAAATATTTTTATATAGAATAATTAATTATTATTTTGATATTTTTGAGATAAAATTAAATAAATCATCAATTCTAAAATATATAATTATTTTAAATATTTCTTCAAAAAATATTAATATATATATATAATTAATTTTTTAAAATTATATTTAATATAGATTATTATTATTATTATTATTATTATTTATCAAAATTATAAAGATATATAAAATAACATTAAAATTCTTAACAAGTTGTATGGAGTTGTTTAAACATAGAAAACCACAAGAAATTGCCATGGATCTAGACCTTTTTATAAAAAAGTGGATACACTATGTTGCATTACTATGGTTGCAAATTTAAATATTTTATTATATAAAATATTAAAATTAAAGAAAAAAAAAACCTTAAATGACTAATATAGAATATTATTATTTTAGAAAAAATAATGATTAAAAATATCTTTTAATAAAGTCATTTAGCAAGTTTTAATTTTATTATTTTACAGAACTAATACTAGTTTTTGCAAGTACCAATCTAAATAATCAAATTTTAATTTGCAGGCCTTTTAGAACCTACATAATTATACTTATTCAAAATCATTTAAGATATTGATATGAATTCTTCTCAAAGACTTATTTAAAGAGTTCCTTCTAATTGCTTCACATGT